GTATCTTAAATATCAGGGATTTTATAAAAATTCAATATTTCAGTTTCTTTTTAAAAAACAGGAAGTTCTGATGACACTGTGCTTGCATTACGACCTGGCAGTCATCATCACTTAGAACACTTAGACTGTGCATCCACTCTCTAGTTAGTCGCAGTTTTCACCATTCCTTACAGCCCTGCCTCTGCTCTGCCTCCATCATTAATCCTACCCTCAAGGCATCTGCAGAAGTCTGAGCTTTCACTTCGGGCTTCACCTGTCCCCTCCCCTCTAGGCTAGGAGACCTAAATGTAGGGACCATGAGTGTGTTCACCAATGTCCTCCCAGGTCTGACACAGTGTCTACCACAAACCTAGGACACAAAATACATTTGCTGAATGAAAGGATGAATGTTCCTTGCATTCAGCATGAAGAGCTAGAAGTGCTCTAAGGCATGGCAACAATAGCTCCCTTCCAAACACGCAGCACAACTTGAGAGATATTGGGGGATCCAGTTACTGTAGAGTGTGGGGTTAAGTGTCAACTCTGGACAGGCTAGCAGTCCCTCAAAATATTAAATACAGAATTCCCATATGACCCAGCAATTCCACTCCTAGGTATAGATCTCGAAAAACTGAAAATAGATGTTCAAATAAATACATGCACAGCAGCACTATTCACAATAGCCAAAAGGAAGAAACAACCGAAGTGTCCACCAGCAGATGAATGGATAAATAAAATGTGATATATCCATACAATGGAACATGATTCAGCCATAAAAAGGAACGAAGCATTGACACAGGCTAAAACACAGATGAACTGTGAAAACATGATGCCAAATGAAAGAAGTCAGACACAAAAGATCACATATTATAGGATTCCATGTGCAGGAGATGTCCAGAATAAGAAAATCCATAGAGACAGAAAGTAGAGCTGTGGTTGCCAGGGGTTTGGGGGTAGGGAGAGGAATGGGGAGTGATTACCAGTAGGTACAGGGTTTATTTTGAGGGTGATGGAAATGTTTTGGAGCCAGATAGAGATGGTGGTTATATAACATTATGAATGTATTAAATGGCACTGAATTGTTCATGCAAAAATGGTTAATTTTATGTTATGTGAATTTCACTTTGATTTTTTAAAAAGTGCTGACTAGAGCCAAATCACCCAGGTTCAAATCCCAGTTTGACATTTGCTAGCTATGTAAGCCTCAACCCATCGAGCCTCAGTTTCTTGTCTGTAAAACAGGAACAAAAATCATACCACCCTCCATGGGTTTTATGGAGATTAAATGCGCTAATGCATATGAAATACAGGACTTCCCTTGTGGCTCAGCTGCTAAAGAATCTGCCTGCGATGAGGGAGACCTGGGTTGGGAAGATCCCTGGAGAAGGGAAAGGCTATGCACTCCAGTATTCTGGACTGGAGAATTCCATGGACTGTATAGTCCATGGGGTCGCAAAGAGTCGGACACGAGTGAGCGACTTTCACTGCACATACAAAACATAAAAGATCTGGCACATCCTGAGAGGTAAATGTTAACTAGTTCTGCTAATATTCCAAGTTTGCTGAGTTTCCTCAGTTCCTTCAGGACCGGGTCAGCTAGAGGCACAGAAGACCCCCGGGGGCCCAGCAGGGCTGGCCAGGACTCCCAGACCCCACGGCTACCTCTGACATTCAAGGAAGGGATCAAACATTTCCTGCCCATTAAATTAAAGCAGAAGCTGTCTATCTAGGAAGAAATAAAACTGTAAATATCAAAGCCAATGCATAACCTTCCTGGGCTTCTGTCGCAACTTCCTTTCTCTAATAATTATTGTTTAAAAGAAGTAGCCCAGGACAGTAGGGTGGGGTGGGGGGCGGGCTGATGGGCCTTCCACCGCATTTAAAGTTCACTGCATGCATTGACTTATGTCCCCATATCAAATATCCGCAGCCACAAGGAGCTAGCCAGTGGCTGTTTGCTCTCTGGACGTTATTTATTGCTGGTGTAAATTGCCAGGATCTCCCCCAGTGCATAACTTTTTCCCTGACTTGTTTCTTTCCAGAAGATCCCAGACTAGGGGGCCAGTCTCGCAGACGCCAACAGAACAATCTTCTTTCAACAGCATTAATTATCTGTATGGCTTTCCATAACAACAAAAGAAAAAATCTTGACCCTACTGCCTGCCAATATTTAAGGCACTAGGAGAGGGAAATCCTTTTATCTTTGCATCTCCCAGAGCAGTTTGGTTTGATAAAACATCCTTCCCTCTCCCCCCCCTCCCTTTTTATATTCCGAACTTTCTGGCCTGATTAATTCTTCCCATCTCAGTAAAGGGCTGTGTATACTCTTGAGTGTTGACTTGATTTTCTTCTATAAAAACATCCTTGCAAGAAATTAAAACAGCACAGCCCATTCTTGCTCCAGAAGCTACTTGTAAAGTCTTATTCCTCACTCATGGAAGGGGGCCGGCAATTAAAAGATTTGTAGGAGAGGACAAGGGTCGGGGGAGGGAATGTGGAAAATGGAATATGAGTTGAGAAGATTTCTTTATTTTAAATTAAAGTTAAGGATTAAAGGCATCAGGATTTCAAGAGTTATCGTGAAAGGCTTTTTAGCAGTTCCCAAGTGGACGGGCCATAATCTTCTTTTTAAATGGCTATATTTAGACCACAGAGCACTCAGGCAGTGGAACCAGAAACTTCCAGCAGGGGACTGCAGGCAGGATGGAGGATGGTGTTTTAATATTAGCTGTGGAAACAAGATTGAACCACCTAGGAGTGATTTGTTTTTGAGGAACATGTAACACTTGGAAATTGCACATATATTTTATAAATCAGTGGAAGGGGTTCACAGCCAGGGTTGTGTCATGCGTAAACCTAAGAATTTGGGAAGGCCAGACCTCACCCCAAATGCCTCTCCATTCAAGGGGTATCTGATTCATACCTATATGACACCTATGATGAAAGTATTTGTGGGTAATAACATAGATGTTTTCCGATGTGAGAAACTATCTTAAAACCCTGCCTCTCTTAACAGATCAGTTAGTAGATAAAATAAAGCAAGAGGGAATTGTTTAAAGTAAACACATTTATTTCCTTCTCTGCCTCCCAGTTTAAGTGCCATGATCGTGTTCACTAAATCTGAAATGTGACTGAGTTCACCGCTTCCCTAGTTGAGGACTACTGGGTGCTTTATAAAGGTTATTAATAAATAACCCTTATGACATGTTTAGTCAATATGGTAATGAATGATTTATCTCAAAAATACAAGATACAATGTATCTTTTTTAACGTTTGAAGTGAAATGCCAGTGTGGACACAGCCCAAGAAGCAGAACCCTGAAAAGTCTGGCAGGCAACAGGCAGGAATTCAGACAGAAGAATTCAGTGGAACAAGAACCCTTTGGGCTTCTAAGACAGCAGGACCTCCTGGGCTGGTTTCAGTGGGGTTTGGTTTTTGTTCATTACTGGAAGCATGAGTAAGTGTTCTAAAATCAAAAGTGACAAAGACCCAACCTGCCAGGCAACATAATCCTCTCCGAGGAAGCAAAAACACGTTTCCCACATTTCCCTCAAATTGCAAATCAAAGCAGACCCCGACATATTTTCTCTAAGCTAATCTCCAGCAGCCTGGTAACTTTGATGGGGTTTAAATAAGACCAGGTGTTTTTTTTTTTTCCCTTTTTGGGGGTCATTCCCTTCCCTAATAGGACACTGGAGAAAAGGTGTCTAAAGGGGTGCTGGGCGGGGCTGGGGTGGCTGAGAACTAGATTCTCCTTCACCTGCAAGATTCTACCAGGCTTCCCCATCCCCCTGTCTGCTCAGCACACACCTGGCAGGGGGCCTGGGAACCAACAGGGTTAAGAAGATCTTCAGGGACTCTGACGTCCCCTGCAGATGCAGAACCATGGCTATTTGTGGTTTTAAGTGTAAGAAATCACGATCTAACCCATAATATTTCCAAGTTTATGCAAAAGCTAGTGAACCCGCCTATTATACAGAGTGAAGTAAGCCAGAAAGACAAAGACCATTACAGTATACTAACACATATATATGGAATTTAGAAAGTTGGTGATGATAACCCTATATGCAAAACAGAAAAAGAGACACAGATGTATAGAACAGACTTTTGGACTCTGTGGGAGAAGGCGAGGGTGGGATGTTTCGAGAGAACAGCATCGAAACATGTATATTATCTAGGGTGAAACAGATCACCAGCCCAGGTTGGATGCATGAGACAAGTGCTCGGGCCTGGTGCACTGGGAAGACCCAGAGGGATCGGGTGGAGAGGGAGGTGGGAGGGGGGACCGGGATGGGGAATACATGTAAATCCATGGCTAATTCATTTCAATGTATGACAAAAACCACTGCAATGATGTAAAGTAATTAGCCTCCAACTAATAAAAATAAATGGAAAAAAAAAAAAAAAAGCTAGTGAACCCGCTGGAAGTCTTATAAAGCACATCTAAGTGCACCAGCTTGTCATTCATTTATTCTTTTGTTTATCCAACACATATTTTCCTGAGCACTTACTATGTGCTTGACCCTGTTCATGGCACCAGGGCATATGGCAGTATTTAGAAAAAGGGAGATGGCCCCTGTTTTTATGGAATTCAGAGAAGCACAAGCCAGAAAGCAACTTCAGTTCAGTTTTGGCGCTGGGTGATGGGTACGTGGAGATCCTCTACACTATTCTCTCTTTGTGGACATTTGAATTGCTCCATAAAACAGTTTTTGAAAGAGAAAAACAATAGTAAATGCCATTTATTTGATCAATTTGTTCATCAGACAAATATATGTTAAATGAGATCCAAGGGTTGGGCACTATGGCGAGAGAACAAGACCAAGGGGTGCCTTACCTTCAAGGAACTCAGTCTAGCAATGGTGGATTTTCCCTATCAGATGAGTGAGGACAGTTGAAACTGTCTGAAAAATTGGGGGGATGGGGTAAGAGGGAGGGGTACTCAATAGACCAACACAACCTACCAGCTCAGTAGGAACATTCCAGGTGATTGTATGCAGAGATTCTAAGAAGAACACTTTCTGGATTAAAGGAACACCATAAATGAGAGATGGCAAGCTGTGGTCCATGGGCCCATTCCAGCTCACCTGTTTTGTGAGTAGATTTTCCTGGAAGACATGCATGTTCATTCTTTAAAATCTTCTTTACAGCTGCTTTCACACTACCCTGGCATAGCTGAGTACTGCAACACAGGCTATATGTCCACAAAGTTAAAAAGTACTTACTATCTGGCCCTGTAAAGAAAACGCTTGCCATAATCTACCTCAAAGTGTTCTACACAGAACATTGTTGAAAAAACTGACCAAGTTTTTGTGAATGAAACCCCCAATCTGCCTTCACACTGAGTTTGCTTAGAGCTGTAGGTCTCTGCTTGGCTATCACTGGAAAGCTTTTTAACACCCTCATGCCCAGTCCCACTCACTAGACCAATGACATCTGGCAGTGGGTCCTGGGGAAAAAAAAAAAAAATCTGCATTTTTTTAAAGCTCTCTTGGGTGATTCCAATGGGAAAACATAGTTGAGGATCCTCGGCTTGAAAAGAGAGACATCAGCTTGGCGGTAAGTTTTCAAGGATGAATGCAGATGGTTCATCCAAGGCAGTAGCCACACAGAAGATGGCCCACCTCTGAAACTAGCTGGATCCATGGGGCGGGCCAGCTGGTCCTGGACTGACTCTGATGCTGCCACCCAATTAGGAAAGTGGGTGGGTTACAAGCCGTGGTGCACCAGTAAATGCTTAACAACTGGCTCTCCAAGGGAAAAAACTCTGAAAGGTGGTGATTGCTAGTTTCTACGGTATAAATACTTCCACCATGGCCAACTTCAGCCTACCAACTAGATATCACTGAAAGCGGGGCTAGGAAGATATGTACATAGTAATACATGTAGCAGGCACTAGTGGTAAAGAACCTGCCTGCCAGTGCAAGAGACTGTAAGAGATGTGGGTTCGATCCATGAGTTGGGAAGATCCCCTGGAAGGGAGGCATGGTTACCCACTCCAGTATTCTTGCTTGGAGAACCCCATGGGCAGAGAGGCCTGGTGGGCTACAGTCCATGGGGTCTCAAAGAATTGGACAACACATTGGACAACAGACCATAAACAACACAATACGTTACACAGTATTTCCAGATACAGATACGAGAGAGGTAAATAACCTCAAGAATATGTAATACTAAAATACAGTAAAGTGATTAGGAAGTGACAAGTTCTGAGTACTGAAACTGGGTTTGAAACAAATATAATTTCTTTAACTGTAGTTAGGTTATGTAGTTTAATTCTTAATAATTTAAGAATTAAAGTATTTAATTATTATTTAACATTTGATTCTTATTTAACATTTAATTCTTATTTTAATGTGGAAATTTAACAACTGGTTCTTGTGGGCTGGTACAAGTTGGTTCTACCACAGTATTAGGCACACCTTGGAGATATTGTAGGTTTGGTTTCAGACTGCCACAAGAAAGCAAATATTGTAATAAAGTCACACAAATTTTTTGCCTTCCCAGCACATATAAATTATATCTATACTATACTGTAGTCTACTGAATGTGCAATAGCATCATGTTTTAAAAAATGCACACACCTTAATCTTAAAATAATGCTACTGGAAAAATGGCATCAGTGACCACATTCAACGCAGAGTTGCTGCAAACCTTCAATCTGTTAAAAAAAAAAAAAAAGTATCTGTGAAGCACAATAAAGTTAAGTTCAATAAAAAGAGGTATGCCCGTTAGTCACTTCAGGACTCAGAAGGTCAAGTGTTGGCTGGGAGTTACTAACAGAATTTACATGGAAAACACAGTAAGGTAAAGGAACTAAGGCTTGCCGCTTCCTGACAGGATAACCTTAGCTGGTTGGTTCCCTGAACCTCGGATTTCTCACTCTATTAAACGGGGTTACTGTATGGGCTCTGTAGCAAAGGTGGCCTGGATTCAAACACTGTCTACAACTTGCTAGCTGTGTGGCCTTAAGCTAGCAACTTCAGTTCTCCTATCTGGAAAATGGAGATAATTATTGTATCACCTGATGGGTGACTGGAGGGGTTGAAAGTGTTCTTCTAGGTAAAAAATAACAGGGCATGTGGTCAATAATCAATAAATGTTAGTTCTCATTATTATTGTACAGGTTTGCATAGAATCAGATCAATTACTTCTTGCTTATTGGGTGCTCGTAGCAATCATTAATGCTGTTTGCCAAATATTTCTGGCTCCCTCCCTTCCTTTCACAAGGTAGGACTGCACTACTTGGCTACGTGTGGTTGAATGAGATCAAATGACTAGTCCGGGACAACGAGCTGAAAGCAGGAGTGATGTGTCACTTTCCAGGATGGAGCGTTTTGTTGCCACAAGACCCTCTGAGCAGTCTATCCTTCCAACATTGTGAATCAACGTCAGAGCGGATAGCTGCTCCATTAGCCTGGGTGCCTGAATAACTGTGATGAGCAGAGGACACTGCCCATCTGCAATGGACATGTAGCCAGTGGGACTTGTCACTGAGCAAGAAATAGGCTTTGCTGTGTTAAGTCTTTGAAATTTAAGGGATCTTTTGTTACTACAGTATAATATAGCCTATACTGACTGATACATGGCTAAATAAATGGTATTTGTGACTACTATTAAGAATACCTCCACTGTTTCCAAAATTGCAAATGTCACCCCCAAACTCTTAATCTAGATCATATGCCTCAAATAAGAACACTTTAACCAGTACTGACTGACTGGCAAGGTATAGGGAACAAAGCACGGTATTAATTGTCCGAAGACCTATGCTTGAATCTGCTACTTGCTAACTCTGCAACTTCAGGCCTCCCACATCAGTTGTTTGAGCCTTGGTTTGCGGATCTGTGATATGGAAATAATAACAATGATCATATTTGCTCCTGCTTGACCAGGCAGCTGCACAGTTATAATCAGAGTGCATACTGTATATTTGAAAAAAAAACCAAACTATCATCACTGGAGGAAATTACAGTCTCTGACTGTGATAAAGTTAGATTATTTTCATTGCTCTTCTTCAAACTCCCAAAGATTCCAGTCAAGTTTCTGTTTTGCTTGTATTAGCCACCTCCAGATAGAATCCAGAGTAAACAATATCTCTGGTCTCCTCCTTTAGGGCTCCTGCCCAGGACTCTCTCATTTATGGGCAACTTCTTTTCCTCTCTCACCTTGCTCCGAATCACCAACATTTTGCAACATGCTTTGGCAACTTGTTCCATCAATCTCACTCCTCAGAAAGTTCTTCCTAAAACCTTTCTTAGCAATGCTTACTTTGGGGATTTAATCAACAGTGGGACCTATATATTGACCTATGAGCAAAATGCAGAAAGAAATCTATATACCCAAGTAATATCCACAAGCCAATTAGTTAACAACAGAATGCCCCTCAACTGCCGACTTCTTAAACTTTAAGGGAAAAAAAAAAAGACTTAATTTCATCACTTTGTCCTCACCACTTTTCAACATTTTGCAGGCTTTGGCATTTCCTAATTATGAGCACAGCCTAATTCAATCAAGATTCTGCCACTGGTTTTTCAAATGTTTCAACTGATGCTGTGAAAGCAACACCTTCTCCCCACTCCCCAAATAAATTAATCCTCTGTATCATAATCATTACTCTAGATGAATTATTTTATTTTTAAAAATCACAATCACACACATCTACCTGTCAAGTGAACAGGAGTTCTCAACACATACTGCAAGTCAGCAGGAACTAAGAGTTAGGCAGAAGGCCAAGAAAGGAGTGGGAGGATTAGGCAGTGGTTTCTCCATTAGCAAGCAGAGACCAAGGTGCGCGTTGAACTGTGACTGACAACAGGCAATGACCTGAAGATCTCTGCAACAGAACAGGACATTTGTTCACTCATCCACTTATAAATCTTCATTGAAAACGTACTGTGTGTCAGCTTGTGAAGAAGGCAGACCTGATCCCTGTCCTTATGGAACTTAAGACACAAAATAATTAGGACACAGCTTATCACACAAATAATTATTACCATTGTGGTAAGCACCAAGAAGGAAGACAGCAGGGGCGCCAGAGGCTATAATAGGGGCTCTGTCATCTAGTCAGGACGCAACAAGGACTTCCTTGAGGAGGTGGCACTTAAGCTGACACCTGAAAGATGAATAAGAGTAAGCCAGAGAAAGAGTGAGGGACAGAAAACGATGTTTATGAATTAGAAGACGCCACAGCGTTAAGAAATTTCATTCTCTAATACAAACTGATCTATAGATTCAATAGGGTGCCAATCAAAATCCCAGGAGTTTTGGGGTTTTGTTTTTGCAGAAAATAATAAGCCAATTCTAAAACTGATACAGAAATTCAAAGGACATATAATGTCTGAAGAAATCTTAAAGCAGAAAAACAAGGTTAGAGGACAATCTATCCAACTTCAAAGCTTACTATGAAGATACAGTAATTAATAAAGTGTGGTACTGCTGTAAGGCTAGACATACTGATCAATAGTCCAGAAACAGACTCACATAGATGCTCATTTGATTTTTGAAAAAGGGCACCAAAGGGAAAAAGGAAAATTTTAAAACAAATTTTGCTAGAACAACTGGACATCCATATAGGAAAAATGAGCCTCAAATCCCTACCTCACACTGTACAAAAAAATATTGCTTTGAGGTGTATCAGAGACGTAAACACAAAAGTTAAAAGAACAAGACTCCTAAAAGAAAATATGAAAATAGATTCACGATTTGGGGGTAGGCAAAGACTTATTAGATAGGATACAAACATGATTTTGAAAAAACTCCAGGAGACAGTGAAGGACAGGAAGCCTGGAGTGCTGCAGTCCACGGGGTTTCAAAGAGTCAGACATGACTGAGTGACTGAACAACAAAGTAAGAAGGAGTATTCCAGGCAGAGAGGACAGCATGAGCCCCAGAAAAGGAAAAAGCTTAATTTTTTTAAGAACTGATACAAGGCCAGCATAGATGGAGTGTGGTGAGGAAGACAGTGGCAGAGTTCAAAACACCAACTGCTGCAGTGAACCTTATTAAAAAACCTGCACTTCAAGAGATGAAAAGACAAGCCACAGACTAGGAGAAAATAATTCCAAACCACATATCTGACAAAGGATTTAACTCCAGAAAATACAGAAAATTCTCAAAACTCAATAATGAGACAAACAACCCAATTAAAAAATGGGCAAGATATTTTAATAGACACACGGCCAAATCAGATATAAAGTTGGCAAGTAAGAAAGTGAAAAGGTGCTCAAAATCATTAACTATTAGAGAAATGAAAATTAAAGCCACAACGAAATACTACTACACACCAATTAGAATGTCAAAAGTTGAAAAGACGAAAACAAACTGGATAATATCAAGTGTTAGGGAACACGGACAACAGCTGAAACTCTTCTACACTGGTGATGGGAATGGAGACTGGCACAGCCACTTTAGAAAAAAGTGTGGCAGTTTCTTAAAAAGTTAAACATACATTTATCAAATGTCTCAGAAATCCCACCCTAGGTATTTACCCTAGAGAGATATAAAAACTATGATCACACAAAAACCTATATGAAATGTTTATAGCAGTTTTACTGACAGCTGCCAGAAACTCCAAACAACTCAAACATCTATGAACAGGTGAATGAATACACAGTGATATAACCATGTGATGGAATAATATCCAGCAATGAAAAATAGAAAAGTACTGACACAAGCAACAACATAAAAAAAATTTCAAATTCATTACGCTAAATCAAAGAAGCTTGATTTTAAAACATATATATATATATATGTGTGTGTATATATATATATATATACACATATGAAAAGGAAATGGCAACCCACTCCAGTATTCCTGCCTGGAAAATTCCATGAACAGAGGAGCCTGGTGGGCTACAGTCCATGGAATCACAAAGAGTCTGACACGACTGAGTGGCTGAGTGTGTGTGCGTGCACACACACACACATGTTCACACATACTTTTCATGGGGTTCATGGCAAACCGCTCAAGTATTCCTGCTGCAAGAATCTCATGAACTGCATGAAAAGACAAAGAGAGATGACATCAGAAGATGAGCCCCGCCTAGGTCAAAAGGTGTCCAATATGCTATCGGGGAAGAGTGGAGGGCTATTAGCTATTATTAATAGCTCCAGATAGAATGAAGCACTGGGCCGCCAAAGCAGAAACGATGCTCAGTTGTGGATGTGTCTGGTGGTGAAAGTAAAGTCCAATGCTGTAAAGAACAATACTGCATAGGAATCTGGAATGTTAAATGTTAGGTCCATGAATTAAGGTAAATTGGATGTGGTCAAGCAGGAGACGGCAAGAGTGAATATGGACATCTCAGGAACCAGAGAACTAAAATAGACAGGAGTGGGCAAATTTAATTCAGATGACCATTACTACTGTGGGCAAGAATCCCTTAGAAGAAATGGAGTAATCTCATAGTCAACAAAAGAGTCCGAAATGCAGTACTTGGGCGCAAGCTCAAAAACAACAGAACGATCTCAGTTTGTTTCCAAGGCAAACCATTCAACATCACACTAATCCAAGTCTATGCCCCAACCACTGATGCTGAAGAAGTTAAAGTTGACAGGTTCTATAAAGACCTACAAGACCTTCTAGAAAGTTAAAGTCACTCAGTCAGAAGAGTCACTTCAACCCTTTGTGACCCCATGGACTTCTCCAGGCCAGAATACTGGAGTGGGTAGCCTTTCCCTTCTCCAGGGGATCTTCCCAACCCAGGGATCGAACCCAGGTCTCCCACATTGCAGGCAAATTCTTTACCAGCTGAGCCACAAGGGAAGCCCCTAGACCTTCTAGAACTAACACCAAAAAAAGATGTCCTTTTAATCATAGGTGATTGGAATGCAAAAGTAGGAAGTCAAGAGATACTTGGAGTAACAGGCAAGTTTGGCCTTGGAGTACAAAATGAAGCAGGGCAAAGGCTAACAGAGTTTTATCAAGAAAACATGCTAGTCATAGCAAACACTCTTTTCCTACAACCCAAGAGACAACTCTACAAATGGACATCACCAGATGGTCAATACCGAAATCAGATTGATTATGTTCTTTGCAGCTGAAGATGGAGAAGTTCTATACAGTCAGCAAAGACAAGACCCGGAGCTGACTGTGGCTCAGATCATGAACTCCTTATTGCAAAACTCAGGCTTAAATTGAAGAAAGTAGGGAAAATCACTGGGCCATTTAGGTATGACCTAAATCAAATCCCTTATGATTAAACAGTGGAGGTGACCAATACATTCAAGGGATTAGACCTGGCAGTCCAAGTGTCTGAAAAACTATGGATGGAGGTTCGTAACATTGTCCAGTGACTAAAACCATCCCCAAGAAAAAGAAATGCAAGAAGGCAAAGTGGTTTTCTGAAGAGGTTTTTACAAATAGCTGAGGAAAAAAAGAAGCAAAAGGCAAGAGAGGAAGGGAAAGATATGACCAACTGAATGCAGAGTTCCAGAGAATAGCAAGGAGAGATAAGAAGGCCTTCTTAAGTGAACAATGCAAAGAAATTGAGGAAAACAACAGAATGGGAAAGACTAGAGATCTCAGCAAGAAAACTAGAGATATAAAGGAACATTTCATTCAAGGATGGGCACAATAAAGGACTGAAACGGTAAGGACCTAACAGAAGCAGAAGAG